AATTGGCATGCTATATGCAATAAACATGACTGTTAGTTNTGGTCTCATGTCATTTCATAAGATCACCCGTTATCAATCCCTATCCTATGTTTTCATCGACGATAAGCACTTCAATTGAGCTATTTAAAGCAACGTTTCATTTAGTGGGATATTTGATAATCCAATCCAGCTACTAAATTATATCAATTCAATGAAAGCTTAAAATCTGGAAGAGATTTGAGGGGCTTGTGCAGAAACTATGCGAATTGTTTTGTCCAATTAAGTAACATTCAAACTGCAATAAGTTCATTTAAAGTTTAAAAAAAGATTCTTTCCTAAAGAAAAATTCCACCCGAAAGTTTATTTTTAGTATTTCAAATAAGATAAAGAATTTCATCATAAAATAATTATAATAATTAAATTTCATCACAAAATAATTATAATAATGATTATTCTGTGATAAGCATTGATGCATGACTTTAGACGGTATAATCGTAAACAACAAAAATGAAATACCACCGGACAGAACGTGGACCATAATTCGTGTAAAAATTTGCCGATAAATTGAATATTGAATTCTCTTGAGCAGAAAGTTTGAATAATTTCTTGTGAATAAATATCAACTCGGTTAAGGTACATTTTGGTTTTGTAATTGTTGCGAATTCCATTTTTGAAAATGCTCAATTCTTACGGTAAATTTATAAAACAAGGCCACCATTAGATTATTATATAATAGAAAAAGTTTAAAATTTTAAAACTGAACTGGATCATTTCGGAAATTTTTATTTGATAGTTCAATTAATTTCAAGAATTCAGAAATTTAGATCAAAATAAAAATTTAAATCACAAATGGATAATTTATTCGTCATAAAATTTCATTATCATTATCTTCAATGATCACGACGACGAATTACTCTTTGTTTTCAAAATATGAAAATGATAAATGAGGAAAACATTTATTAACCTTACTGAAATTGAACAAAATAGAAGGAATGGTTGTTTGTATTAACGAAAGTTGCATTTAAATATTTTCAGGTATTATCCTTTATGCAAATAATTTCATCATTTTTCAATGCAAGAGGAAAAAGGTATCCCTCAAAAAAAAAAAAGGTATCCCTCAAAAAATATAAAACAGATGAAATCAAATTTTGAGGCAAAAAGACATTCATCAGAAATTCATCAGAAAAAAAAGAACTAATTGACGTTGAACGAATGAGAAACGTATTAACTGATGTTGAATGGATGCGGAACGTGTTAAATAATGTTGAATGGTTACAGAGCGTTATTCATTGACACATTGAATGATTACGGAAAGTATTGATGACGTTGCTACGAAATGTATAGAATTAAAATGTATTCAGGTTGAAATTAACAATGAATAAAAATCAATCGACAAGTTATTTTTTGACTTAACTGGTCAGACTTTTCCATTATCACATATTTCAAATATCTTAAGAAATCATTGAAATAAATCTTCAAGTGTAAATAATTTTTTTTTGTTTGCATACATGAAATATTTATTCAAAAATACGTGAAACTATCTAACATTTACATCTGAAACAAATTCATACATTCACTCGTTTACTAAATATGCGATACATTTACAAATTCTCACAAAAAATCTGGGTTCAAAACTATTTCGATTTAAAATTATCAAGAAAAAAAAGGAAAAATGGAAGAAAATTGACGAATAATATTAATATTACTGGAATATGTATGAAAAATTGTGACAATTCAAAATTTCATTGTTTATTAGTGAAAGTGAGAATTGCTGATAGTTCGATCAGTGATCCGGTAACGGAAATGTCAAATCAATGATTCCGGCAACGACAATATTTGGCC